TTATTATACAATAAATAATACAAAAAAGAAATTAAAATCAAGTTGTCAAAATACATTCCTTCCAAAGAAATAGAATGAGATTGTGTGCGAATTTGATTTCGAATATCTCTTCGAAATTGTCAAATATATTATTTATCAATCTAAACGAAACTATTAAATTTATGTTAAGGTCATCACTCTCAAATGCCTCAGCTCGCCTTGGTTCGCGTTCTGGTAGTATTACAATCGGTTCCGGCTTATATCAACAGAAGGAACGATACCAATACACTTTAATGTCGACATCTTCTTACCTTAAAAAGTTGAACCCTCCAAACTCATCCCCATTACGGTCTTCCGCTGCTTCTCCTAATCTTCCAGACTCCTCCCCACTCTCTCCAGTTACTAGTCCTGATGTTCGGTCTCGTTCCAGTTCATCTGCTGCTTTAGAACAAAACACTTTTGTTCCACTTGAGACTTACACGAAGGAACAAGTCCTCCTCAGAACAAAGTCACACACGGAGAAGACTGAAAGTAATTACCCGACCTTCCAATTAGACAAAATGAGTCCAAAAAGTACTCCGCGAGATGAAAATGAAAAGGTCGAACAGACATTACTCTTAAAGGAATTACAAGCACTCACCGCGTTACCAACAGCAACTCGAACGACAGCTACTAACATTTATTTGGCGTCGTATTCGGACGCGTTGACATCACACCTCAACCTCTTTTTAACAGACTTTAAGGCATGTTTTAAACACTCGATGCCACACATCTCAACACATCACTCGGAAAGGACTCGGTACTTTGGAGTCGAGACGGCTATCGGATTTGGCGATTTAAATGATGTGATATTCTTGAGTGATTCTGTCGACATCTACGTCATTATAGCCGACTCGTCAGACCTCTCGTTCTTGTATTTGACGGCTTTTGTGCAGAAGTTAGCAAAGGCATTTGGCTCACAAGCAATCAAAAAAGTCGTGGTCTACACAACATCGCCTAACACTTCAGTGAACACGTACTGCCAAGTCAATGACATTCCAGAAGTCACCGACCGCGATGTGTTGAAGGCGGAGATCACTCGCCACAATGAGGAATTCCAGAAGAATGAACAGACGAAGAGCAAAGAACCATCGAAGCGTGTGATTTTACTTGGTGATTACTTTGTAGGGAAAACGACTTTGTTCCATCATCTTACAAACAGTAAATACAACGGATATGAAGCGTCGTTTGAGACATTCACTAAAAAGGAGTCGAGAAACGAATTTGATGTCATAGACACGCCCGGGAACTTTAGATTCCAAGTCAGACTTAACAAAGAACAGTTGGACACGACTATGGAAGGCAAAAATGAAGACGAACGAGCAGTGGAATTGACGATGAACTACTTGCATGAGAAACAAATAGGTGGGGAATTGATTGTCGTCCTCTATGACGTGACTCGAAAAGAGACGAAGAGGTACGCCGAGCTACTTACTGAGTCACTGCAAAGAGTATTTCCATTTTCTTCGGTTGTTGTGATTGGAAATAAACTCGACATTGCCGATGAACTTAAAATGGAGGTTGAGGAATGCGCGATGGAGGGTGTGAGCGATATATTAATGATGACATTAAGTGATGGGAGAGTTGGTGGCGTGATAGACAAATTGAGGGAACGACTGACATTTTTGATGCAACCGAAACGACTTGATTTGGTTTGCTTTAAGAAGAGCTTTGGTGTTGAAGAAACATATAAAGTGTGCGAAGACTTTTGTATTGAAAGCGGAAAAAGCGCGAAGTCGGAGAAGCGACTTGTTCGCGTCGAAAGGGGGCATCTCATCGTGTTAAATTCAAAAGGAAAAGCGTCTGGGAAGTCGCGGAACTACAATTTAGATGAGAACAGTGCGATTGTCGAGACTCAACGAAAGAAGATGAACTGCGTTGTTATTAAAACAAGAAATGGGAACATCGGGGTTTGCTTTAAAGATGAGAAGAAAGAGAAAGAATTCAAAGAGAATATCATCGAAGCACAAGTGGTCAATAAAATAGGTAAAGGAGTGTTGAAAGTCATTTGTAAACAATTTCTGAGAGAAGCACTGAACGAATTGGTCGATGAAGATATCGAAACGTTCACAAAACAAGTCGAAAACTATATTGGAAAGACAGACTACGTCTTTCCAGACCATCTCAAGACGGAAGTCGATATGGTCGTCCACGCACCCGATAGAAATACTAAAAGATTCTCAAGACTCTCATTAAGTAGTAAATAATAGTTTATTTGTTATTCAATGGTTTTATATCAATTATTATAATTGTTAATATTTTTAGTATAATTTATACTATTTATTTTTTTAAGAAAAATCAATGAAAATTTGTTTTTTTGGGAAACTTGTTTATTTCGGTATAAATATTCATTGCTTTATTAAACTTCAATATATTTATTATTATAAATAAATTGTTAGGTTATTTTTATTTCCGATAAAAAATGATTTTGTAATTGAAAAATAATTCAAATATTAATAGATATTTAAATTAAAAAGAAGAATTATTAAAAATCTACTATTTTATTAATATTTTTTTTATTAATTATTAAATGTCATTAAAACGATTGTTTTACAATTGTTTTTTAAATTTTAGTGTAATGTTAAACAAACTTTGATTATGATCGATTTATTTAAATATTTAATGTATTTAAAACATAAAAATGGCAATTAAAAACAAATATAATATTTGGCAAATTTTTTCATTTTTATTTTCAAAAAACAAGAAGAAGTGATGTTTACAATGTTCAAAAAACTAGTTTAATATTCGACCATGTAGATGATACGATATTAATTTTAATAATTTTACAATACATTTACTATTTAATAAAATATTCTTTTATTAACAATCAGTTTTTGATAAAAATACTTTATAATAAAAAGTATTGTAAATTACTAAAAGAAATAGTTCAAGACATGAATTCCTTATTTTCACTTCAAAGTACCAAATAAAAACCAACTTAATAGAACTTGTAAACTGTCGAACACATGACTAAGCCATTAGAATCCTTTTACTTGATGAACGTAGCATTATATCTTGAGGTTCAAGACTTTCTCCCGTTCATCACTATCAACTCGAAGTGTACAGATCTTTTTTTCCACCTTCACATCAATCCATACAAATCTTCTAAAATAGATCCAACCGCCAAACAATTTTTTCTCAAAATCCTTTCCCATATTGAGACGTTAAATTTAGACATTTCGTACCTTCAAAAAGTGTCAGAGGAGACTGTCAACTTCCAAAAGATCAAATACCTTCGTTTATATAAAACAAATCCTTACTACTTCATGAGCGGGACGTCAAAACTTATCACCCAAAAAATAGAACGAACTCCAGCACGCCAAGGTGAACTCGATTTCATCTTAAAACACCCCGAGGACTTCATTTCAGTCAAATCCATCATCGTCGACGATTTCTTTGTTGTCAACGACGCTCTCAGTGGCATTCTCAAGCTCCCCAATCTGAAGAACATTGTCATTTACGTGATCAACGACGTCAACTTCAAGCGTCTTGATGACATCGTTGTCAAGTTAAGCCTCAAAGTCGACTTCGTCTTTTTTGTGCCGTCGCACATTCTACGTAAGCTTGGCGCTAACAATTCGTTTACTCGAAGAATCAAATTGTTTTGTAATGATATTGGGGGGACTGAATTTGGGGCTCAAATCATATCGAAAGATAAGGAGGTGATTTATAATACAAATGAGTCCAATTTAACGATTTCTGATGCGGTTGCTTTGGCAGCAAAGAGTCTTCCAAGGTCTTTAGAAATACGAGCGGGGGATAAGACTTCTGGGATATTTAAAGTGTATGACGTTCGCTCGTTAGTTGAGCTTCAGAAATTAGTTTTGAAGTATTTTGGGAAGGGGGATAGACTAGTTTTTGATACATTAGATGCTCTCTTTTTAGATACCACTGGCATTGAAATACAGTGCATTTCATTAAGGAGTCTATATGTATCAAACGTAGCAGATTATAAATTCAAATTCGATGGAGACATTAAAACGCTTGACGTACGTTCTTGTAAAAGAGTGGACTTCTCTAATTTAGTGATCAAGAATGAACTGAACGTCATTGAAGGTGCTGACTGTATTTTCACTGTTTTGGACGATAACACTAAAGTAAGAAAGAGTTCCCTTTGTTCAATTAAAAAGAAAGATGGCTCATTTTACGTCGTTAAAACGGAAAGTTGATTTAAATTCACTTTTTTCCTTTCATTTGTGTTGATTTGGTCATCTATTTTTATCGGAATCTAATTCAATAGAATTTGTTTTTTTTGCTAATTATAGTGTTACGTGCAATTCTAAAATAGAATTAGAATCCGTTATAACTGTTTTACATAAAACTATTGGTTTATAGTAAATGAATATTTAAATACTAGTAAATTACTAAGACACAATACTTTAAAGAGAACGCCTAATTACGACATTTCAATAGCGGCGTCCTTTCCACCCTCGTCGTAGTACTTTGTGTTCTCGTCGACGAAGTCGTAATTACCTTTTTTAAATCTTTTGATAGCCAAGAATGAGACGACGAACATGATCAAGAGAGCAGCGGAGTATCCGAGCAAGCCGGAAATGAGTGGACCTTCCATAGTGATCAAATCGTAACAAGTAGCGTCTTTCAAGTTAGTCACCATCTTATTGATATGGGAACATTTGATGAGACTGAGGACTTGGTCTTGAATCGTTGAGATCACACTGATTAAACTATTCACAACATCTTTCAATGCTTTCATGTTGGCGCCGTACTCTTTGTATTCAGACGGACATTGTGTGTCACAATCGGAGACAGTGATGTTGCTCTGATACACACAAGCTATGTTAGTGATCACCCACCCACTTTTACCTTCTGTTGTGTTCATGAAATCGGGTAACTCGCAGCGCACTGGCTTAGTCGCATAAATAGGTAACTCAGCTTGAGAAGTAGGTGGTGTTGGGACAAAGTAGTATCTAAAATTCTTAATATAAATTGCATCCATTAGTGCGGGTATCCCTTCAAAAGTGATTCCTTCAGGGACACTTGGGCATACCAAAGGACTTGTAGTATCAGAAAGTGTCTTATTAAGGTCTTGCACACACTTTGTGTTATTCATTAGAGTTCCTGTGCATGTGTATTTTTCGTCGTATCTAATGAAGTCCGTCGAACTGACGGTGTCGTCGCTACACACTTGTTTATAGAACTCTACCGCGCTGTCGACAATTTGATTCTCCACAGAAACAAACTCATCGGACATATTACTGAGTGTCGAGTTGTCACAGTTTCGCACGACTTGGAAGATTTGATCAAAATCGGAGTCTCCCGGGGGGGCTTCCGGGTTCATCTCATCGATCAAATAAACACAAACGTCGGAGACTACAGTGACGACGGGGTACTCGACCATCACAATAACTGCCGCTACTACTGCGAAGAATATCGAACAGGGGAATATCGGAATAACTAAGAAATGCAGCTTACAAAATGCTCCGATAAGTGCGACGATGACTGCGATGAATGGCAATATCAAAATCAAGTCCACCAATGCCTCTCGCGCTTTATAAAATGCGTTGACGTACGTCTTCCCTGTGTTGACAGTCCCATCGACACCTTGAATTTGTGTGTTTAAGTCACTGAGCATCTGAGTCGTCTCATTTAACATCGACGTGTCCAAGTCCGGGACGATTTCTTTGATCGGGCCAAGATCGACGGAAGACAACGCAGTGTATGTCTGGTCGAATATGGTTTTAATGTCGTCGTACGTAGTAAAGAGTGAGTCGCCGACCGTTCTAAATGCCACCGTCATCGATGAGTTACCGATGATCCCTACTATAAAGAAAGGGACTAAAAGTAACGAGGATACGATCATTAAGATGAGGAAGATACACCACTGCTTTGTCCCATACGATTTCTCGTCTTTGGGACAGAGGCAACCATGCTTCGCTAAACAACACGGCCCAAAGCAACAGCGAGTGCACGCAAAGATGTACACAACAAGTGTTAAGATGACAAGTACGATCGCTATGAAAGCACTTGGAATAGCTAAAGACTCGGCATATGGCTTATAGAAACAAGAATTGGAGATGTCCGAGACGTTAAACCCATTTGGATTGTTACAAAAATTGAGAAAAGTGTCCGGCTTGTCTCCAGAGAAGAAGACGGGATGGTTCGAACGATCGCGTGGGATGTGGTCTTTGTCGTTCGGAGTAAATGGGGGCGGGACCGTGGAGTCTTCTGTGGTCTCAGAAGAGACGAAGAAAATCAATGTGAAAAAAATGAGGGATAACATCGAATTTCACGAGTGTGGGATTTAAGAGTTTTTGAATGTTATATACTTGGCAATGTCTATATAAATATTGCTCGAATGATGTTTTGTGTAAGTAACTGTGGAAAATCAAATGGAAAACTGTTCGACTGCATATTTACCGGTATTGTCGTCATTTAAAATCAAAATTAATTTAGATACTTTGGTTTATATGAATTATGGCAATTAAGTTATTAAGTTGGTGAATAATCAATGTTTGGTAAAATAAGTTGAAACTAGACGTTTTTATTAAAGAGTAGCATTCATTTTTATTGTCTTTGAGAGGAAGGCTACAGAATAAAGTATTTGTGTTGATTCCTCTGTTTTCTTTTTTAGCGATTTCAAGAAAACCTCTTTTACTGACAATAACACAAATTTGCTCTTAGAGTCAGTAGGAGGCAATTTTGGCATACTTTTAATACTGAAATGAATGTCTAAAGCCATATTACTTCTTTATATTAGTTTATTATACATTTACTATATTAATATAGTTTGTTGATTTGTTTGGTTATTGATTGATCAATATGTCAAGTGATGAATTATTGGGTATAATGATGACTGATTGGTTCTTCAAAGTATGTTTGGGCTGATTTAAACAGCACTTTTCTGTTGAACCTCAAAAATAGAAATCAATTATAAATAATATTAAACTATAATAAGTTTTATTATTATTATATAAATAAATCTATATTTTTATTTTAATTTAAAAAAATACTATTAAAAAAGTGTAGTTACATTAGCGGAATATCCTAATATTTTAAACATTTTTGATTAATAAAGTTTTTAATTTAAATAACAATAAAATAATAATACGATTAAAAAAATAAAAAAACCATTCAAACAAATTTGAAAGATCTTATCAAACAAAATAAATTAAATTTAAATGTTATGGTTCTAATAAAGTTGTTTTATGGTTTATTACAACACACCCCACTATATTTTAGTTTTACGAGACAAACTATTTTTCTATTTATATTTTAACTATTATTAATTATTAATATGTTTTTATTATTTTTTGTGTTGTTTTTATTTTAATATATTATTAAATAACTTAATTAACATGTTTTTTTGTAAAAAAACAAAAAAGACGATTTGAAAGACAATGAAAAAACTATTCTTCAAATAATAGGAATGCATGTTGAGTTATTATTAGTAATAATATAAATACCAAAAAACTGTATATTATTAAAAATGTTATTAAAATGTTATATATAACAAAAACCAAATATGTAATATATAACATTTAAATAACATTTATATTAATCAAATAGAGTTGATGGAAAAAAGTCCGGCTCGATAAAAAAGTATGGCTCTTTATTTAACTATAGTAAAATATAATATTGTTAATTATAAATGAAAAACATTTTATTTTTTCGAAAAAAAAACAAAATATTAAAAATAAATTTATTAAAAAGATAAAACTATAAAATTATATATGGAAAAAGAAATTGAACTCGTGATGGATGAATTTGTTATTTTGAAAAACAAAGTTGATATTTTAAATACAAAAACTGAAATTAAATTGCAAAGTGCTCAATTCGCTTTACTAAATCAAAAACAAATGAATTAATACAGTGAATTGACTGAAAAAAGAAAAACTCACGTAAACGACATACTTTTGTTACTCAAAGGGATGGAGCACAAACCAATCAATTAATTAACAACATTCAGTCGATACAACACAATGCAACAATAAAAAACATCATTTTTGCATTTCGAGGCAGCGGGTTTGTTACAGCAACCGATTTCAATTATCAAAATATCGTTCATGTGAGTCCGCAAAATGCCGTGAAAATTAAAAAAGGAATTGTCGCTCCTTCAATGCCACCTCAAACAGTAAAAACCAGTAAAACCTTTCATGTAAATGAACCAAAATGTAAAAAAGACTGAGAACCAACACAGGAAGTTCCCAAACTGCGTTTGTGTTAAGTATAATTTCGGGATTTGAGCACTAAAAAAGCATGTCTCGATATCTTAATTGATTTGTTCGTTTGGCTCGTTTGTAATTTGAATTTTAATTATAATAAAAAAAGAAACAAAATACAAATAATTGTTTATAATAAAAAATAGTTTATCTTATCGAGCCGGACTTTTTTCCACCAACTCTAGTTTGAGTAATTGAATTCCACATAAAATTGTTATTAAAATATTATATATAACAAAAAAACCAAATATGTTATACCAAATTCTGTTCGACGAACTTCCAATTGACAACGTTCCACCACTTCTCAAGGTACGCCGCTCTGTTATTTCTTGTGTCGATGTAATAAGCGTGTTCCCAAACATCACAAGCGAGTAAAGGTTTCATCTTGTTGGCGATGGGATTCATCGCGTCGTGAGTATCGACGATCTCTAACTTCCCATTAGTAAGTACAAGCCAACACCACCCACTTCCAAAGTGGCCAACAGCCTTTTCTGTGAACTTCTTCTTGAAGTCCGCAACACTCCCAAAAGCATCGCTCAGCTTTTTGGAAAGCACGTCTGATGGGTGACACCCCCCTTCACACATACAACTAAAGTAAAACGTGTGGTTCCAAACTTGAGCCGCGTTATTAAAAATAGGTTGCGATGGCTTCTCTTTAATCAACTCCTCAAGACTCTTTTCAGCGTTTGGTGTGTCGGCTACAAGTCCATTGAGTTTCGTGACATACGTTGCGTGGTGTTTATCGTGATGGAATTCTAGTGTCTCCGCACTGATATGTGGAGACAACGCATTTTTCTCATAAGGGAGAGGGGGGAGGGTGAAAGTCATATGGCTTAGAAGTAAGTCATTCAGTTCTTTTGTGATATCTTTACATTCACTTTTTTTCATTCTCAAATACGTCATTTAGAATTTATTTAGAAATTAATAATTATTATACTATCGTATTGATTATTTAATATTTTTGGTATTTTTTTAATATTTTAATAATAAGTTATAGCTCTGTCTTAATACTTTTTTTTACTTACTTTGATATTAAAATAATTTAAAATAATTTTAAAAAATTTGTAATTGTTATTTTGAATTATTTTACTTATACTAGTATATAATAATTCTATTATTAAACAATTAATTATAAAAAGAATGGTATTAAATAGTATTTAAATAGTAAATTAAATGAATTAAACCAAACAAGGATCTTCTTGATTCTTTGTCTCAGAATAACACTTGTTATGAAAAGGCTTATGACAAACAAAACATATCCGATCTGCTCCATCTTTTCCACAAATAGCACACACTGCAGTTGTATCTGAATTATTTTGCATGTCATGAGTGTTATAAGGAGTTGGGTATTCGGTTATTTCTTTAGTGCCAAGAACTACAAAACAAATAGTTCCTTTCTTATTACTATTAACTCCAAATTTCTTCATAGTATCGATATGCAATTTTCCATTAAATAACATCTTCCCGTCGCTATCGAACATCACACACTTTTCAAAGCCAATAATAAAAGCGTATTTCCCTATGTTTTTGATTCCAACGGGCTTAAACCCCAAAGTAATTATTAATGCACTTTCACACATTTTATCGACTATATTGATCGTTTGTTTCTCTCCCGACAAGACCCACAACTTTCCCCCAATCTCCGTGAAGTCGACAACATCGACAACATCCAACTTATTTTGTTCTTGTGATCCAAACTGTTGCACGGACAACCCACTGTTCTTGACTGAGTATACAATGTCTTGCGAGACTATAGGACTCTTCCCGACTAAAAGATTCTCCGCGACTTTCTCGAGTCCGTCGCCGACAGTGTAGATCTCTCCCTTCTTAGTAAAGACGTAGACGGTGATCTTATCATCACTTTCCCCAAACTTATCAAACCCGACGACTTTCCCGATGCTCCGCAACTTCATCGAAAGTGGCTCCAATTGAAAGATTTCGTTGTTATAAGAGCACAACACCACGTCGCGACTCGTGAAGATGTCGATCGGCTTATCGCTCGAGACAATCACTTTGTCGCTCTTCTTCGTGGAACACACAAACTCGTAGAGGGTCTTCCCTTTAGTCTTCTCGCGGACGTAATACAATTGCTTCGATAAATAAAAGAAATTCGTCACCTCAGTCTTCTCCTTGAAAATGGGCTTCGTCGTCTTCAACTCAACTTCTTTGGGTATCGCACCGATCGACAGGATTTCACTGCTCGGAGTGACTAACTGGACCTCCGCCATCCCAGTCGTCAAGACGGAATTTTTTAATGGATTGCATTTGGGGGGTGCGACAAGCTTTGTAGAAGGCGGTAAGACTTTCTCTTCACTTTGCTCGGCTTTTGGAGTGTCGATGGTCTCTTTTTGAGCGTCTTTTTGTAAGTCTTTTTCTTCATTTTTTTTGTGAAGGTGCCGAGTCCTGTTCAACGCTCTGCGCTTCATCGCACCTTCAGTCGGTTGTGCAAGTAATTCCGAGGGTAAGACGGGGACATCCGTTTTGGTGAAATTTGTCCCCATTGAAGTTCGTGCAAAGGAAAGACCAAAGTTGCGAATGGCTGCACTCGACTTCTTCGTTTGAAGCTCTTCTAAGTCTTTTTTGACCTTTTCAAGCTGAGCTTGTTCGGCTAAGATCTTGTTTTGGAATTCCTCAATCTGTAATTGTTTTTCTTTGAGTTCCTCATCGAAACGTCGTTTCATGTCGTCCATCTCCGTTTTACTTGTTTTTTCTAAGTTGTCGCGCTCTTTCTCGAGTAATTCGGACTTCTTTTTCTCATCAAGAATCTTCTTTTCTAATAAGGAAACAGTCATTAGAACATCGTCTTTTGCAGCATCTAGAGACTCAAACAACATTAATGTTTTTCACTTTGCCATTCTCGACAGATATTCGTAAAGAGGCCAAGACTGTTGCACTCGCACAATTTGAA